AGAGAGAGAGAGAGAGAGAGAGAGAGAGAGAGAGAGAGAGAGAGAGAGAGAGAGAAACTGGGTATAGCTTTGGCTTTTAAAATCTCAAAGCCCATTCCAGTGACACACCTCCTCCAAAGCAGTTCTACTCCTTGGTGACTAAACATTCAAATATATGAGTCTATGGGGCAGTTCTCATTCAAACATCACAAATGTCAATGACTTCAATTCTCTAATTAAAAGACAAACTGACTGAATGGATCAAGAAACAAAATCCATTATCTGCTGCTTACAAGACCTTTATTTTAAGGATAGACACTTTAGAGTAAAAGAATAGACAAAAGCACTCTGATCGACTCTCAAAAGTGTGTCATCTCTAGAGGCTGCGGCGGGGCCTCTGGTAAGAAGGCAGGAACTTGACAGCTTCCATAAAGGCCAGGAGTGGTGACGGCAATCTGACAGCGGCGAGCAGAACTACGGCGAACGGGAATCCTGTTCTGTTTCCAGAAGTGGAAGTGCTCATGGATCGGGGAAATCTGCACGGCATACCCCTGCAAGGTCTCGCTCCAAGGAAGATTCAAGGCGTTTTAGATCAAAGTCAAGGTCCAGATCTAAATCCAGGTCTAGATCCAGAAGAAGTTCTAGAAGGCATTTTACCAGGTCATGATCTCGACCCCGCTCCCATAGACGATCCCGGAGCAGGTTTTACAGCCGAGATTATCGTAGATGGCACGCCACACCCATTCTCCCATGTCTACTCGAAGGTGTCATGTTGGGAACTGGGCAAATCCTGACCCCAACTGTTGTCTTGGAGTATTTGGATTGAGCTTGTACACCATGGAAAGAGACCTAAGAGAAGTGTTCTCTAAATATGGCCCCATTGTTGATGTGTCTATTGTGTATGACCAACAGTCTAGACGTTCAAGAGGATTTGCCTTTGTATATTTTGAAAATGTAGATGATGCCAAGGAAGCTAAAGAACGTGCCAATGGAATGGAGCTTGATGGACGCCGAATTAGGGTCGATTTCTCTATAATAAAATGGCCCCATACCCCAACACCAGGAATTTACATGGGGAGACCCACTTATGGCAGCTCACGCCACCGAGATTATTATGAGAGAGGATATGATCGGGGTTATGATGATCAGGACTATTACGGCAGATCATACAGAGGAGATGGTGGAGGAGGTGGTGGATGGAGAGGAACTCAAGACAGGGATCAGATTTACAGAAGGCTGTCACCTTCTCCTTACTACAGTCGTGGAGGATACAGATCTCGGTCCAGATCGCGATCATACTCACCTTGTCGCTATTAAAGCATGAAGTTGAAGACTTTCTGAAAGCTGCCATAGAGCTGGGATATTGTTTGTGGACAATATTTTCTATTGTCTCCTGTTTAAAAAGTGAACAGTGCCTAGTGAGGTTAGGTGACTTTTACACTTTTATGATGACTACTTTTGGTGGAGTTGACATGCTGTTTTCATTCTGCGTTTGTGTAGTTCGGTGCTTTGTTCAAAGTTAAGTCTTTTCAGAAAAGTAAGTTTTGAATGTATTTTTTTACAGTCCAAATTTTGATTGCTGAGAAGTTTCTATTGTACAAAACTTCATTTAAAAGGTTTTTCTACTGAATCCAGGGTATTCTGAAGATTGAAGCCCATGTGTAAAATGCTATCAAATGGCAAAAAGCAACAATAAACAAGTTTGATTTTTACTTTTCTTTCTAAAAAAAAAAAAAAAAAAAAAAGCACTCTGATCAAATGGGACCAGGAAGTAAGCAGGTTTTACTATTCCAGAATCTGACAAAATAGACTTCAAACTAAAACCAATCAGAAGAGATAAAGGATACTTCATTCTAATCAAGAGAACATTAGTATCCTAAACATATGTGCACCAAACTCTGGGCTCCCAATTTTATAAAAATTCCACTACTGGATTTAAAGATACAGACTAACATTAATCCGCCAAGAGAAAGTGATTTCACTATCCCAATTTCTCTAATAGAGAGACTCTAGACAGAAAAATAATTAGAAAAAATATCAGAATTAATTGACTTCACAAATCAAATGGACTTAAGAGATATCTACAGGATATTCCACCCAAACAACAAAGAATATACATTCTAGTCAGCCACACACAAAATCTTTTCTAAAATAGACCACACCTGGGACACAAAACAAATCTTTAGTTATTCAAAAAGATTTAAACCACTTTTAGTATTCTATCTGACCACAATAAAACTTAAAATTGACAGAAAAAGCAACCTTTAGTAAATATGCAAAGTCATGGAAATTAAACAACTTATTACTGAATAATGGGCGGGTCAAAGAAGAAATCAAGAAAGAAAGAAAATCTTCCTGGAAGTGAATTCTAATAAAAAGACAAAACAACAAAACTCTGGGACACATTGAAAACAGTCCTATGAAGGAAATGTATTAGCTCTCAGTGTCTACATTAAAAAGTCAGAAAGAGCACAAACACAATTTGGAAAAACAAACCAAATCTAAACCCAATTGGCAGCATTAAATCAATGAAATAGAAATAAAGAAAACAATACAAAAAAATCAGTAAATCTAAGATCTGGTTCTTTGAGAAGATAAACAAAATTAAGAGACTCTTGGCCCAACTACCTCTCCCCTCCCCAAAGAAAGAGGGGACCTAAATTATAGAATAAGAAATGAACAAGGAAGCATTACAAATACAGGCCAATATTTCTGATGAATACAGGCTTAAAAAAACTCAATAAAATACTTGCAAACAGAATACAGACTACATAAAAAGATGATACACTATGACCATGAAGGCTTTACCCCTGAAATTCAGGGGTGGTTCATTGCAAACAAATCTATAAATGAAATAAAGCACATAAATGGACTTCAGATATCACATGGTTATCTAAATAGAATGCAGAAAGGGTTTTGACAAAATCCAACACACCCTCATGATAAAAGTCCTAGAGATTGGAGGGCCAGAGGGCATGTGCCTCAACACAATAAAAGCTATGTATGAAAACCCCACAGCCAACATCATCCTAAATGGAGAGAAGGCTTGAAGCACCCACTGAAGTCAGGAAGGAGACAGGAATGTCCACTATGCCCATTCCTCAATGTTGTGCTTTAAATAATAGCTGGAGCAATAAGGCAAGAGAAGGAAATTATTGGTGAAATTATTAAGGCTACTCCATGTAGTTAAAAGGAAAGTTTATTAGTGTCACAACTTACACATGAAGGGATAGGTAGGTCGCAGGGTCTGGGGAAGGCGTATCGCAGTCCAGCGGTGTTCTCTGGAGCTCTGCTCGGTCAACCTCCACCATCCAGGGTCCAGGAACAGAGAGAGAGCTGGCCCATCCGGATCTCAGGTCTCCAGGGTCCTCCCTTGGCCCCACCTTGTAGGCTTGACAATTGCCGAAGCCTCAATGGGGGTTGGAACTTCCAGATCAAAGCTGGAATGGCTACCCATTACAGGAAATTAAAGGGATACAAATGGGAAAAGAAGAAGTTAAACTATCTCTATTTGAAGATGATATGCTACTATGCATCAGAGATCCCAAAAATTCTATCATAAAACTTCTAGAAATGATGAACAAATCCAGCAGTGTGTCAGGATAAAGAATTCACTCATAAAAATCAATAGCTTTTCTATACACTACCGACTGACATACAGAGAAGGATATCACAACACACTCCCATTCACATAGCAACAAAGAAAATAAGCTATCTAGGAATAAATCTAAGGAAATGAAGGACCTCTATAATGAAAAATTATACCTGTGAAGAAAGAGATAGGGAAAGACAATAGAAAATTAAGACATCCCATGCTAATGGAGTATTAAAATCAACATTGTGAAAATACCCATCCTGCTAAAAGCTGTTTACAGAATCAAATGCAATCCCAATCAAAATCTCCACCTTACTCTTCACAGAAACACAATAAACTGTCCTAAAACTCATATGGAACCACAAAAGACTTTGGATAGCCAAAACAATCCTGAGCAAAAAGAACAATGTTGGAGAGATTATCATTTCAGATCTTAAGATTATATCACAAATCTATAGTAATAAAAACAATATAGTATTGGCAGAAAAGTAGACATGCAAATAAATGGAACAAAACAGAAGACTAAAACATGAGTACATGGAAGTCCAGCCACTTAACATTTCACAAAGATGCCCAAATAACAAACCTCTAATACAATAATGCTGTGTATAAATATACCAATATAGTTTTAATGAACTTTTTCTTTTTTATTGAAAATAGTATTTTTTTAAAAATATATAGTATTACATTTTCTTCCTTCCTAACTCCTCCAATTCATTCTCACTTCCCTTCTCCTCCAGATAAACACCCCTTCCATCTCTTGTTAGAAAATGAACAGGCATCCAAGGAATAATAATATAATAAATAAGATAAAACATAGCAATAAATTAAGATAGGAGTAAACAAACTAATAGGAGAAAAAGAGCCAAAGAAAAACTTACCTGGGTTGACATTGTTCCTTCAAAGACTCTAAAGACCACCTGACAATCCCCCCTCCTAATACTAGACATGAGAAGCTCTCTTTTGAGTTGTTGGCTAGGGTTTTCCAAGAGACTCTCAAAACACACAGTATGTTGCCACTTCCCTTGGTTACTCCCCAGAGGTAGAAGGTAAGTCCCTATTGTTAAAGACTCCATGCCCTTCAGATACAGGACCCAGAGACCCCTGAGCGGGAACTGATCTGAATGCCCCCTTCCGGAAGACTAGCTTTTATGATCCCGAAAGGTATCATGCATGCTTCTAAAGTAGGGAAGCAACCAACACTCCTACTCAGCTAGGATGGCAACGAACCCCATCAATGACAAGCATGGCATGATAACCCTAAGGGTGCAGTAGCAATGTGTATAACTTGTTGGTAGCCAACAATTCTCTACTTGGACTTAGGACTTTTTTTTATATTTATATCATGTTACTGTTTCAATTAATGGTATAATTTTCTCATTGATTCACATTTATATTAGCCCTTGGAACAGATTTATAGTTTTTTTTTTCATTTTTCTTTATTAAGAAAATTTCTACTCACTCTACATACCACCCACAGATCCCACTTCCTGCCTCCTCCCACTCCCTAGCCCTCCCTCCCAAGCCACCCCACATCCCCACATCTCCCAAATCAAGGTCTCCCATGGGGAGTCAGCAGAGCCTGGCACACTGAGCTGAGGCAGGTCCAAGGCCCTCCCTCTGCACCAAGGCTGTGCAAGGAGTCACACCACAGGGGACTTAAGACTTGATCAACAAGAGGGAGCCCATTCCTGGAATGGATACCTAGCTAGCTACTCAGGACTAATGAAATAATGGTTACTAGAGGAGACTCTACAGGCACTAATTTACTAAACTAGCATAACCCCTAACAACAATCTATGAGCATTGGTCATTATACTCACAGATAAATATAGCCTTGACTCATCATCAAGGATACTTCTCTCTCTCTCTCTCTCTCTCTCTCTCTCTCTCTCTCTCTCTCTCTCTCTCTCTCT